AGTTTCTTCAACTATAAGATGGAGATAATGATAATCCCTACCTCATAAAATTGTTGCAGTAATTAAATGAGGTATACCATTAACAGTTCTCACTGTGCCCGGAACATTGCAAGCCCTTGGTAAAGGGTCTCTGCATAAAAGTAATGAGATGGGAGCTGGTCAGCCTGGTGGGTGCACTTGGGAGACAGTCCTGAGGAAATACTCGGAGGGGTCTTGGCAGGGTAGAGTTAAAAAAAAAAAAGGACCACTTTGGAAAGGGGGTCAGGAGCCTGGTGTGGGGCGTCTCCAACACCTCCCCTTGGTCTCTCTTGGCCTCCCCTTTAAAAGCTCACAGGTCCCTACTGGATTTTGTCTTTGTTTTGGGGGGATTTTTAAAAGCACATGACAGTACAACACTTTGTTTGGAACTGACCCATGGGGGCCCGTCTCTCCCAGTTACTTCTACCCCCTGCTCACTTTGTCTACCTATATTGACTTTAAAAAACAATAAAATATGCCTGCAGCCTGTAGAAGAAAGGCACCTTATGACATCAAGGTACTCTGTCAGTACTGAAATATGCCTTAAAGCTTAGCCACCTAAATTTGATTTTCTGAAAGTATTGATAAGATAACTCCTTATACTTTAGTGTTGGTCCAAGTAGCAAAAAGTAAAAACTTAGATAAATGTCTAGTATATTTCTTATTCTTAAATCTTTTTTGCCGACTAGGGAAACAAATAACGACGTTCACCTCCAACATTGTCGTGCTGTTTCCCTTCTCTCCCTCCCTCTTCTGTTCTCCCCTCTCTCCCAGCCTGTTCTCTCCTGCCCTCCCCCAGCCAGCGGCTCCATCTCTCTGCGGCCCCCTTCTCCTCTTGGCCCCTTCCCTTTGCCTCTGTCGCTCATTCTCAGGCCCTCTCCCAGACCCCCTCTCGCTCTGCCACTCTGTTTCCTGGTTTGCAATCTTACTGAAAGAGGATTTGGTTTAATCTGACTTTCATCCTCCCAGTACCAAGGGCAGGGCTGAAATGTTGCACAACTCCGGGGGGTGTCCTCAGTGGACCCAGTCCAGGGTGTTTAACAAAGCAAAGACTTGGGTGTGACACCCACCACCTGGGTGGACAAGGGTTGAAGGCCTTCTGTGGTCCCTAATGGCTACAGACATTTAAATATGTCTGCTTTTGTTTCTTTTTCTAATGGAGAAAATACCATGTGAAAGAAACAGAAATTGGATATCGGATTTCACAAATCCTTTTCTTGCTTTGCCCTTCTGACCCTGATAAGCCACTTAAACTCCTAATGTCCTTCAATTTTTGTAATACTCGTTTATAAAGTGTACTGCCCTGGGGATGCAGCTCAGCTCTGGGACTTATTCTTCACGTACCAGGGAGGGCTAGGATGTCTTTGGCTCAACGGTAAAGGGAAAGCTTGGACAGGAAGAATTTAAATTTTCTCCTTTCAGCCACAGATGCTGTGGAAAACATTGTGAGCACAGGCGCCAAAACTTACTAATATAAATGTATGTATTTAAGTATGTATTTTATATATGATTATAATATATATTAAATATATGTTATAGCAGAGTTCAAGTACATTGGCTGATCTTGGATTGAGCCTAAAACCCTAAGGAGAAACTTCTTTATTGGAGGAATAGTAATAAACGTGACTCACCAGACACCATTATATGGAAGTACATTTCAGTATTGAAGAAGAGTTCAGACAAAAGAATCAAACCAGTCACCACTGCACACCCCTCTGCTCAAGTCAATCAGCGGGGATGTTCACACATGGAATACCATACAGCAGTGATGATGAACAAACTACAGATCCGCCCAACAGGTGCATGAATCTCACAAGCATTGTGTTAAGCAGTGGAAGCCAGACACAGTGTGATTCCATTCACATGAAGTTCAAAACCTGACACAACTCATCAGTAGTGCGAGAAGTCAGGATAGCGGTTACACTTGAGGGGAAGATTATGAAGGAGTATGAGGAGGGCTAGGGCTGCCTGGGCACTAGAAATGTGGTATTATTTTTATCTAGATGCTGATCACACAGGTATGTTCACTTTTTGAAGACTCATTAGGCTGTACACTTATGATGTGTGCTGTTTCCTCTGTGTATACTTCAATTTTTAAAAAATTAACTCATCAAAATCAATCATCACTGTTTCTTCTAAGCACTTTTCCCAAGCTCAGCAGTGTGCCAAGAATGCTGTCTGTGACCTCAAGAAGTTCTGGAATTTTAGTTCTGTCTTCTGTCCCCAGCCCTAGCCCTAGTTCTTTGGTTTTGTCTTTCTCGAGAAAGGATGCGCTCAGCACACTTCAAGCATGTGGCTCTGGACATAGCCGGCCGCGGTCGTGCCTCTCCTCGTATCCTGTAGAGCACTGGAGTTCACTGCAAAGAGCACCTGCTACTTGAAGCATTTCTCTGCACCAAAGAATCAGTCTATGTAAAGAAGCCAAGACTGCCCAATTCTGCTAAGCAGAGATTTGTTTTGCAAAGAAAAAACTCTTCTGTAACGTTTAGAATTAGTCGAATCAGATCTAGCTTGAGTTTTCATCAAGACGTGCGAATGAGTTCCCGTAAAGAAAAAGACATTACCTGCAGCTAGTGTACTGTTCTCTTTTTATGGTGGTGCCCTGGTAGGGAAGATGTCTCAAAGACTTTCTCTTTTTCTTTTATTTATATTTTTAACTTGCACTTCTCTTTTCATTATACTCTTCAGGCTTTATTGGCCCTTTTAAGGGCCCCTGCTTTGTGAGCTAATTATGACAAATGTTGATACAACATCTGTTCCTCCTATTTAAATACCTTCTATTCTGCCAGAACTCATCTTGAAGGCAGGTGTGTCGTGAGCACTCGTCTGCAGGTTAATGCAGCCTGTGGGAGACCTGAGGCAGGAGCCGCAGAGGAGCTGCTGAGGTGATACCTGCGTGGCCGGCCCAGCTCTCTTCACGCTTTGAGGAGTGGCAGCGCCATGCCCAAGTGGACCAGCACCCCGTCTTCCCCCTTCTAGATCGTTTCACACTTGATCTTCCAAAAACAGTCTGTTGCGCACGTGCATTTCATTGCAAGCCTGGGCTGCTCAGGTGTGGTCTGCGGTATTTACTAGTGACCGTGTTGGATGGACTGCGGGTCCCTCTGGAGTTGATATTCAGCTTCCCTTCCCCCAGGAGAGTGGAAATCAGGTTCCCTTTTGCCACTTTGATGCAAATAAGTGCTGGGGTAAGATCTTCATTTTTCAGCAGTTGGTTTTGGCACCTTCTTACCTCGACCTGATTTCTGTATCAAGATCCTTTCGTGAGAGATTACCGTGAGACCAGTAAGTTAGGAATACTGAACGGGGAAAACAGAGTCTGAGTTAAAAACACTTGTTTTCAAGTCTCCTCTCTGGATTACTAGCCTTGCTCACCTTTGCTGCAAGAGTTTCCTCACCTGAAAATGGGTATTACAGTAATAAAAAGAGGTAATTCTAGGCAGAATGTGATGATAAGGTAAAATCAGGTGACTTAGGGAACTTTTGGGGGTAGTGCAAATGTTTATCATCTTGATGGTTTCACAGGTGTATCCATGTGTCCAGACTCATCAGCTTGTACATTTGACAGATAGGCAGTTATGTATCAGTTACACTGTCATAAAGCGTAAAAAAGTAGACATTAGAAGATTTTTAGAAACTATAAGTTACTCTACAAATGTTAATTATTAATAATCCTTGTTTTTCTTTTTAAGAAAGCTAACAAATTTTCCTTGAGCAGAATGTCTTCTTTCAGAGGTAAATTTCAAGTTGGCAATTCATAGAGGTAGCTGAAGTCTGCTTCCTCTAGGCCGAGGTTTCTCAACTGTGGCACTGTTGACATCTGGAGCCAAAGCGTCCTCTGTCACAGGGGCTGTCCTGTGCACTGTAGGGTGTTAGCCACATCCCTGGCCTCCACCTCGGGCCTCCCCCCCGAGTGACAATCAAAAATGTCTCCAGACTTGGCTGAATATCTTCTTTGCGGCAAATCGCCGCTGGTTGGGAACCACTGCTCAAGGCCTAGGCCGTGTTCTTAGACGAATTTTTTTGTTACTCAGAGTCCATAATTATTATATCTAATTTCTAAGTTTGTGACAGGATCATTTATATTTTTTAAACAAGCTAAGATGGTAATAGAGATTTAGGCCTAAAACCGCCCCCATGCGCCCCATTTTCTAGTATAGAAGAGATTTGCCCGACCTGAAATATATTAACTATTTTTGTGTGTCCTCTTTTCCTTTAATACCTCCTGCCAGCAGCCACGTCTGATCTCATCCCCAGCATCTCAGCTGCTAGTCCCAGACATGCTTTGCTTGTTCAGTGCCAGAAGAGGCGGCCGATGCGGTGACAGACACGTGCAGCAGGGGAGGGAGGAGCAAGGGGTTTAGAGGAAGTGATCTTTGCAAGAAGTTCTTTTCATTGATGATTATGGGGTTTGCAAATGATCTATAAGTATTAGTACTTGGAACTGACCCTCTCATCCCCACTATTTCTTTTCCTTTAATTTATAAGAAGGATCCAAAGTGGATAGTGACTGTGCCATTTAAAAATGCCAGTCAGCAGCTCGTTTGGCATTGTACAGATGGCCAGACTTTTTTTTTCCCTTTTAATCATTTTTCTATTTAATAAGTAAGTTGGAGGAAAAAATGACTTTTTAAAAAAGTAGGATATTAACTAGTGACACTGTTACTGAAAAGCAGACCCCCTATGCCCGGCACCGCATTGGCATTTCTCTGGATATTGTCTGCAGATAGGCCCAAGGCCATGTTGCCATGAATCAGAGCTCTGAGCCAAAGAAACGTCATCTATGTTGCGGATTTTGCAGCTATATGTCCTCAGGTTGCTCTGATGATAGCAAAGGCCGTCGAGGAGATTCCCCGTGTGCTGTTTCTAATGACAGTGACAGCTGTTTCCAGGCGGATGGAAAGTTGTTTCTGGACATCTCCTCTCCCTAACTCCACCCAACAGTGTCTTGACCATGTTTTTAACTCTTGTCTCTTCCTCAGAAATACCTCAGGGACTTTTTCAGTGTGATGCTTCAATCTGCGACATCTCCCCTACACATCGACAAAGTGGGGCTGACTCTTTCGAAACACACCATTTGTGAGTTCTCGCCGTTCTTCAAGAAAGGAGTCTTTGACTACAGCAGCCACGGGACCGGGTAGAGCTGGGGGTGACACAGGAACCACCAACGCAGTGCCTTCTCGTCGTTGCAGCAAGCCTCCCGTGCAGGGAAGCCTCCCGCGCGAGGTCTGGGCGTGCCTCCTCCTGCTGCAGGCAGACATGCGGCAGCCAGCCTGGCGCGCCTCACGAGTTCCTTCCTAGTGCCTGAGTTTGGGACTGGGATGCTTTGCTTGCTGATGGTAACCCTGACAGGCAGCTGTTGCTGTTCCATTGCGGTTGAATGTGGCCTTTTCCCCATAGGGCTTCCTTCTCATTGCACAGCGGAGTCCATCCCCTGTGGCAAGATGGACGTGGCTTGATATCTTGGGCTCTCTCAGCCAAGCCAACCTGGAACCTCCCAAAGTGGGGGGCTTACCAGACCTCCCTTCAGTGACTTTCTTCTGGTTTCCTCTTTCACCAAAATACACTCTTATTTTTTGTATTCCTTCCATGTGGCTGGCTATATCCTAAGAAAAGCATTTTAAATTATTTCATCGTATTTTTTCTTTTTCCCCGTGTTTGTCAGAACTTTTGTATAATACCTAAACACTGATGTTTACACAGAATTTCATATTCTGCAAAACGGATTTTCGGTCCAATCATGACTGGAGTCTTCCCTGCTTGACACATTGGATGTAGGTGACATCACTTAAAACGTCTGTAAATCCATACAGATAGGATGCTTGTTTAATCTTGAATATTCAAGAAAATTTTCCCAGATGTAAATGGCTACTGTGCATTCTCCAGCTTTCTCTGCTAAGCACAAAATGAGCGCATAGCTGAATGCATATTTTTAAACATTATTTTGTTCACATTTTGATTACAGAATCTACTGGATCTTTAGCTGAAAGACTAGAATTTACAGTACCTTACTAATGATCCCTTAAATTACTCAGGACTTAATGTAGCACTGCACATCCATGTACAGTAAAACGGCTTTGTTTTACTAAAGAGAAAAATGTGAGTGGAAAAAATATATATGTGGTATATATTGAAATGTATATAATTCTACCTATAGATTTATACATGTACACACTCCTGTACAATAGTATCAAAATATATAATCATTCACACCAAATTTATTAAAGGTATTTGCTTTTTCAAAATTGAAATTGAGCTGCTATTAATATTAAATGAAGTTATGGAATCTACCCCGTAGCTCAGTTTATTTTAAGTTTGCGACATGATTATTCCTACTGGTCTGTTTAAAAATTTATCTAATACGCTTGGAAAGATACATAATGTATAATTTAGCATTTGTGTTGCAGAAGATGCAGTTTAGTAGCGATTGAAGTCACAAATGAATGGGTAACAAAACATGTTTGCATTCAGTCTTCTAGAATATGCCTGCACAACAGAGCTCTCCAACCTAAAAAATATGTTTGAAGATGCAATTGTGCCAATAAGGGGAAAAAATGTTACTGCACTAATTAGATATCATAGTTTAGCATGAAAAAAATGAGGACTTTAAGAATTGCTACAGGAAGGCTTGCTTTTGTCTGGAGTCCTGATTACAGACATAGGTTTAGGGGCAGTTCCTACTAGAGAAGTTAAACCTAGAGATTAAAGGCTAAAACCGGGATGATGATAATTAACCCTAGGTCATTCATTTCAAAGAAGTCGAAGAAGATTGTCCCTCGTTTGCTGAGTAAATTAAATGATTTTCTTCAGCCGACCAGATAATCTATCTCCTGCCCTTTGGACCTAGGTCGGAGGCCGGGCTCAAGGCAAGCGTTTCAGTGAAGTCACACAGGTGCAATAATGACTTGGCAAGAATAATTAGACATGTATTTGTCAGATGTGCAGGAATGAGAAGATCATTTGATCCAATCCCCATCTGAAGTAATTAGTGCTGAGTTTGGAGTTCAGGCATGAGCTGGCTCTGGCTGACGCCGGCTCCAACGTAAGGGAGTCATTTCACCTCCCTGAGCCTCAGTCTCCTCATCTGAAAATGAAGCCGTTACACATGGTGATCTCTAAGTTCTGCCCTAGCCCATGGTTACAAGCAGAGGAGTAACTGCTTCAGTTGGACCAGTTACGTCCCTGGTGTGGGGATGTGAAGTACAAACTTCTAATTGAACTTGAAGGCAGCTTGATTTGAATAGAATATGAGGGGGTGTTGAAAAGGCAATGGAAAGTGCCGCCTAAACAAATAATGGAATCTCTTTCTGGAGTGAAGATAAGACAGATGACAGAGTCAGGTTGACAAAATTGAAGCTTTGTTAATTCGGACTAGTTCAAAGGAGCAAAAGAAAATTAGCAAATGTGTATTTTCTTCCTTTCAAGGGCATCAAACAACAAAGTAATGCTAACCTGATCACTGCAGGCAGTTCAGATGGAGGTGCCAGCAACTTATAAATATTTTTGTAGTCAGTTGGACAAATCTAAGGAACTTAAACAGAATTCTTTATTTAAGTAGTTTTAGCATGTTCTCCTAGGTCTTGCTTATAATATAATAAAATATGTGCGCCAGACTTGTTTTATAATCACAAGTAGTATGGTAACCTTCAGCCTGGCTCCCACCCAGACCTTGCTGTTTCTGAATTTAAAAGATTCAAATTCAACCCTGTGATTGATTTTGGCATGTGAATAGGGAGTAACCAAGTCATGCTGGCTCCCTAATGACAGGCATCTAGAAGATTCTCTGGCCCATCATGTGGAGATGCTTTGAAGATTCATGAGCAGGGTACCCAGGCCCCAGGGCCTCTTCTGTTTACACTTGTGTGCAGAAAGAGCTAGTTCACTTGACCCCGTCTACCCACTCAGTGCTCTGGACAGTATGTGCTTGGGGGTCTGGGCAGAAGCAACCAGAAGCTTTCACAGCTTAGAACATTCGTGACCTTGGAAGTATAGCTGCTGCGAGGTTGCCGTCCCTAGCCTCAGAGCTGGGGCACGTTGGTGTACTGGGTTCCACTTTTAAAGACGAGACTTTTTCCCCCAGACACATCTCCAGCACACAATATACACGCCCCACCGTTTCCTCACATGTGCTCTCAAAGGTGGACAGCAGTGTTGTGTTGTGACCCGGCTCCTTATCTACCACAAGGCAAGCCTCGTCCCCTCAGAGGAATGTGGGCAATAATTCAAGCCTGACATCAGAGAATATTCAGAGACGTCCTGCTTCCCAAACAGTTGTGTTGGAAAGAGGTTTTTAAATACACTCTCTCTCACAAATGCTTGAAACGATGCCTCAAGGTGTCATGAGTCCAGAGTTGGACATTTCTGCCGCGTGAGGCCCTTGTGCTCCCATATTCCTACACACACGTGCAGGAGTGGTTCAGATCAGACTTTGTTACTGGAAAGGCCTATTTTTGTTTTGAATAAGAGGAGTAAGGAAATTTAGGTAAAATAACTCCATGGCAAAATCAACTGCTTCAATTTAAATTATCATGACAGGTGATATATGTTTTGGGAAAACTAATAGCCATTAATCTAAGACTCATTCTTGGCAAATTAAGCCTCTGTATTGCTCCTTTAAATGGCAGGCTCTTTCCACGTGCAAGAAGAGGACCTGGCTACTGATGTTTTTTCCTTCTGTTTAGAGTGCTTTTCCAATGATAATACGTTACATGGATAATGATTCTGTGCTGTTCAAATTTTGAATTTCGCACATACAGAATTATTTCCAACAAATCCATTTCTTATTATAAATTTCTAAAGCATCAAGTTTCAGATTGATCCTACCGTAGTACCTGAGCGTTATCTGGGCGATATTGGTATTGGCCAGGCTGTTGCCTTCAGAAGGCTTCTTCATTTGCAAACCAGTAGAAACCTGTTACATTTTAAAATGGTGGGAGAGACAAAAAGGGAGTTGACTGAACTCAAGCGGTTCAAGGATATGAGCTTATCCTTGTTTCCTGCAAATAGCATTCGCATGCACTTACACACTGTGGAGTTTCAGGCACTAAGCTGCTGTCTCCTAAGGTTACGCCATGCCTTTCTAGAAGGTTCTCCCTTTTGTGCATCTCTTGCAAAATGAGTAAATACAAAACGTCCTTTCTTTTACTATCTCCTCTGGCACCCCTTTATTTGAAAATTAAATAATGAAGCTTTTTTCCTAGGGGTTACCTCTCCAGAAACTGACTCTTGCATGAGAATTTGAGATTCATCAATTTGGTTTTGCTTCTTCTCTATTGCTGGAAAGGCAGAATCTTCCCCATTCAGAGAGAGGCAAATAGATGTCTTTGCAAAAAGAGGCACAAGCCATCTCTTTTTAAGCACTTGAAATGGGGAGGTACACTAGGTACAAAACTAGAAATGCAAAGAGGAAAATGCGTCGGCAGAATGCAAAAAGCCCCGTAGGGTTAGCAACAGAGCTGGTTGGTACCATTAAAGCAGGTCACCAGCAAGAGAGAAACCTTTCTCCAGAGTTTAAATCTGGAAGAAAAATATATGTGCAAAATGTAGTTAGACATCATTGACAGCAGAGTTATTTTCCTCCAAGTGTCACGAATCCTTATGCACAATGTTTACAGAAGTGTTTGTGTCTTTCCAGTAGCACTTAAAGTTGTGCCTGAAAACTTCTCACTAGAGAACAGCCTGAGGGTCTGTTATTCCTGGGGCTCCTTCTTCTCAGACGCGCAGGAAGGACGCGGAGGAGGGGGACGGGGAGTCTGCAGCTGCTGCCTCAAAGCTGCCGGGGAACAGCTTCAGAGAGAGGAACCACGGTGGATGTAATACCAGTTATGGTGATGAAGAGCGTCGTTAATAGTGGCACTTGGGTTCATTCTAAACTCTCAGCTTTTCTCCTGAAAACCAGCTAGAAGCCATGGAAAAGAAGAGGGGGTGAGGCAGTCATAAATGACTTCTTTTTTGTTTATGGTGTTTTAAACCCTAATTTCAATGAATGTAATAAAAGTCGATTCATAGAGGGTGCAAGCCTTTGGTTGCAGAGTAATGTTAAAATAGTGGCTATTTATTTTTTGTAAGCGGATGGGGAAGGCATATTTACATTTGTAAAGGATTTTCCATGCCTTCTGATACAGGGCAGCAGCCTCGGTGCACCCATGTGTAGACTTTTTTTAGTAAAGAATTCGTGACAAAGAGGGCAGCACTCCCCTTGGGTCTGGAGCATGGAGTGTCCTTGGGTGACGACTCAGCTGAAGAGCTTGCGGTCCACTGGGCTCGCTGTCTGTTGGATGTGTTGCCCATGTGTACAAATCTGATCAGAAAACTGGTGCCAGCTGGTCCGGCCCCCACTGCAAACACCACCGCCTTGTCCCCAGCACGAGGCCTCCCCTCCTCCTTAGCACCCAGTGTAGGCCATTCTTCTCCCCACTGGTCCCTCTCCTGCTCCGTACCCCTTGGGGGCTGGGAGAGGGAGGGGCGAGCACAGTGAGGTGAACCTCAGGAAGTTCATAAGGTATGGATGACGCTTGCCCTACTTGAAGCCACTTGTGTAGACTCGTGTCCCAGCCACTGCCCCAAGGTGCTTTCTACAGTGGGGATGGTGCAGGGAGGATAGGCCCAAACTCTGGCCGTTCTTGTGTCTCCACTGGCCACATGCTAAGTGTCAAGGTCCTAGTGAGAGAGCATGGCACAGAGAGTGTAGAGCAAACTGGCTGTGCTCTCCTTATTCCTGGTTGATAGAGAACTGGCCTGCTCATCAGCGGTACCCCACACTTCACCGTTCAGTCATTCCACTCATGAGCATCTTCTATTGCCCGGCACGGGACCAGGCCCCCCGCACAGTGGTGAGCGCAGACAAGGGCCTGTCCTCAGAGAGCTCTCATTCCACTCACAGCCAGACCAATAATTGCATAATTACGTGATAATTGCAAATTGTGATAATTGTTACAAAGGAAGAGTAGAGGGTGTAGGAGAGAATGTACTGGAGAAATGAGCGAACCTGGGAGGCTCCGAGGTTTCCTCGAGCAAGTGACATTTGAGCAAAGACCTGAGTGATGAGGAGCAGTGAGTGCCGGGGAGGCAGCGAGATTGCCTCAAATTGAGGAAAGAGCATGCGGGAGGGAAAAAGCTCATTGTGGCTTTAACAGGAAGAGAACGTCAGAGACAGTGACGGATTGGAGAGGGGGACAGCGGCCAGGTGAAAGGGCACCTGAAAGGTGCACACCAGAATTTTGTAAATGGGGTCATGTTCCCATCAGCTGTCACCATTTTGGAAAGATAGTCCCGGGGGAGGAAGATAAGA